CTTTCCAGATGCAGCTCCACTTCTACTTTGGGAAGAGAATGGGGAGAGGTGGGAAGCAGTATGCACTGCATGATCTGGAGGTTTTATGAACAACTGAAATTTGTGATTTCTCCTGCAGCTATTAGATTCTCACTTCCCCTTTTAGTGTGTCCTGTAGAGTGGTGTGTGCACAGGCCCTGGACCCCAAGTGGGAAGAGCCAGTGCACAGGGGAGGGGGAAGCACCCCCATGGGAAATGCCTTGGTCACAAGTCCTGGAGAAGACAAGTTGCATGCACGCGTGGAGGGCAGAGCACACACCCCATGAGACAGCCTGAGCGCCTCAGCAGGTGGGACATGCTTTGCAATTTGCTGGGCTCCAGGTACCACAAAGAAATGGATCATCCCAGAGCTGGGCATTTAGTTCAGTGGCACAGCACTTGCCTGGCAGGCGCAAGGTCGTCAGTTCTATCCCCGGTACCGGAAACAAACCAAAACAAAAAAAGAAATGTATCATCCCTTAGGCCTGGAGCACAGAAGTCTGAAACCAAGGTGTCACCAGGCCACACTACTATAGCAACTCCCTGCTTCTGTGGCTCTTGGAGGCCCCAGACACTGCAGCAGCACTGCACCCATCTCTGCCTCCGTCCTTGTCTGACTTTCTCTGTGTCTGTGTCCGTGTCTGTGTCTGTCTGCCTCTCTCTCCCTGTTCACACTGAGCTATATCCACACAGCCCCTTTTCTTGGACTCTTGCCTCAGCCTCCCAGATTGCTGGACTGCAAGTGTGTCCACCATACCTAGTTTGTGCCTTCGTATGACAAAAGCATTTGTAGAATTTGGGCCCACCCCAACCCAGGGTGACCTCATCTGCACTCTGGCCATCTGTAATGATCATATTTCCACCTAAGGTCACGTTCTGGTTTTCCAGGTGGCTTCTGTTGGGCAGGTGCTCTTCCACCCAGTATGTGACAATGGCAGATGATGTCACAGGCAAGTTCCAAGGATCTCCTGCCTCCCGAATATCTTCTGATTGTTGACATCGGTGAAGGCTCATCTGTGCCATAGGCAGAGTGGATGGTGCTCCCGCCCTGCCTTGCTTTGGGGCTGTGGCCTGGCTACTGAGTTTGTTCTTCAAGTGTCTGGCTGAGCTCCCACCCCATCAGGGGAAGTGAGAGCAGGCAGGACCCACCTGAGGCAAAACCATGGGCATCCTTGGACCAACATGGAGCATTCTTGCAGGCCTCAGACTGGCAGTAGCAGGAGGAGAGGCCACAGACTGCAATGGCCATGGGACTGCAGCCTATGTGCAGGTCAAGTGCAAGCCCCATGGGCTGACTATTCCCATAATACACACCTCGTTCTTTCCATTCATTGCCTGACCCTCTGAGGCTATAGTTTTCCTTCTTCCCTGATATTTGTGGAAGTATGTGACCTCCCAACACCTACACGCACACTTGGAGGGTGTGGTTTCAGGAACAAGTTTTGGGAGGCACCAGGTAGCATGGCTCGGTCGTCCAAAAGTGGGGACTTTGCACTGGGCCCACCCCATCACTACAAATAGGGTTTCTCATGCTTGGCATGGTGGCATATGCCTGTAATGTCAGCAATAAGGAGGCTGAGGCAGGAGGGTTGCTGTGAGCTCCTGTTCAGCCACAGCAACATAGTGAATTCAAGATCAGCATGGACTACATAGCA